AGAGGTGTGCCTTCTCCACCGTAGAGCCCACCTTCTGGAGTAGTCTCCTTCCAGAGATTAGGATGGCCCCAACCCTGCTGGCCTTTTGTAAGGCCCTAAAGACCTGGCTTTGTGTGAAGGGTCCTGTCTCCTGGTTGTGTTAACCATGGATTGTAACCTTCTCCTCAGCTGCTATGTGTATTTTAATTTTTGTATTATGATTGTAATGGCTTTTACTGTTCTCATTTGATTTGAAATATTGTTCACCACCCAGAGTCACTTGTTGAGATGGGCAGCTATATAAATTGACCAAATGAATAAATTAATTAATAAACCCCCCTTAAGAGGCAGCGGGCTCAGGTTCCTTGGGCGTGATTAGCACAGTCAGGACAGCCGTTCGGTGGTGTTGGGACTGCAACTCCCACAGTTCCTGGAAGTCCCAACACATCTGGAGGTGCCAAGATGTTGAGGGCTGCTGCAGTTGTGTCCTGCTTTGTTTGAAGGGTGAGGTCAAGATCTGCACAGCCTGTCCTCGTTTTGGACTAGGTGGTCCCGGTGGTCCTTTCCCACTCTACTTTCTGTGGTTCTGTGAGCCCCTCTGGGGTGTCAGCCTCCTTTCCTTGGTTTGTTGGAGAAGGCCGGGATGGCGCCTCGCATGTGGAAGAACGGAAGAGGAGGAGGAGGAGTTCGTCTGAAAGCATCCTTCAAGAGGATACCGGTAGGAAGGGACGTGGCTAGTCTGCCCCCTTGCACCATTTGTTTACTAAGCTGCTGTGGTCATTTAGGGGGTCCTACATCCTGACTGTAAAACAGCATATTTTGAGACTTGGGTCTTTCACATTGGGATGATTTCAGTCACCTTGTGGATGAAATTGCTTGCATTGGTTTTGGTCCCGAACGATGCCGAGCTCACCATAAATTCCTCCTCTGGTTGGTGAAAATCAAGAGTTCAGTTACTGACAGTTGACATCAGCAGCACGTGCAAGGTGATTCGCAGTTTTGGTTTGTTTCAGCTGTTCAGGAGAAGCTTAAAATAAATACCTGGTCTTTGGATAGTGATGTCCTTCCTCAGGAAGGGTGGTTTGAAGGCCCCGTGGCTGAGACTTCTCCTAAAGAAGGCTATTATAGCTAAGCATTAAAGCGCCTTCTTTCAGCATTTGAGTTAGCAGTGGAAGGGCAGAGGGTCATATCAGTGTCTGTCCGAGGCTGGGGTTGCCGATTGGGGGTCTGGGAGATGGAGAAGGAGCGTATGCCTGTTGATTCTCCTGGATGGTTGAGGGCTTTGGGTACCATTGATTAGGGTACCTCCTTCTTGACTTACCTCGTAGATTTGGGACGTCGCTTTGCAGTGGCTGTGCTGGGGGTGGCCTGGACTTCTTGGCTGGAGCTAGCCTGTCTGGGCCTCGAGCTATTTGATCTCTCCACCGTGATTTTCCATATTGGCAGGATATGACTGGTACGCTGGTGGCCCATTGCTCTGTTTCTCCCTCAGCCAGGCCCAGAAGGGGTGGCTTGTCCCTGAGTGAAGGACTCATCAAATCTGAATAAATTGTAGCTCATTCTAGACACCACAGAGGCCGCTCCTGGGGGTGTGATAGAAATGCCAGCTCGGGGGGGGGTGCACGTGTGCATAAGGAACGGGTGTGTTGGATGGGAGTTCTTTCGGGTTGGGTTCCTTCCTGGGCGCATAGTTGGAAGATGTGGTCAGTGTTGTTCTGTTTTGAAATAAAGCAGCTTGTCTGGCGTGTGCAAGCTTTGCTCGACTCCCGTTACTTTCTCTAGGGCGGCCCTTGGCAACGATCTGGCTGCCGTAAGGCAGCAGCCAGACTGATTGCTGGTCCCTGGTTAGAGAGAACAGGCCATGCCAGTTCATTTGGGCGCTGGTTCAAGATAATGGGCGGTTGAGTCACAACCCCTTTGGCGTGAGCGTGCCCTTGCAGTTCCTTTTCTGAGATGGGGGAGCTTTAGTCGTGAGACTGTGCCTGTGCTTAACAAATGGTAGAGCCAAAAAATTATTCTCCCATAACAAATCTGCCGAATTCTGTCCTGTGGCCTAGGTGGGTTTTCGAACCCCTTTTATTTGGGTTGGTGTATGGTCGTCTAAAGAGAAGAGGAGGACGGCCAGCAGCAAGGGGGATGGACTCAGTTGCAGTGGCGACGGGTGCACCGTTGGAGGAGCTGAAGGAGCTGGTTAGGGATAGATCCTCATGGAGAAGGTCTATCTGTGTGGTGACAATGACTTGATGGTGCATAATCAATCAATCAGTGGTTGGCTAACCGACAGTGCTCCTTGAATTGATTCTGTTTTTGTTATGATAGTCTGTCTGTTATTTTCTTCCATAAGAGGAGCACTCTGGACATGTCAAGTCTCACCACGGGGTGTGAGGGCAAGAGCCCCTTCTGTTGACTTGGCACTCAGGGGCAGACACCGCTGGGGAATACTTCGTTGAAAAATGTGGGTTTTTGAATTTCACGGAGCACCTAGTCATCCATTAAGGGTTCTGTTTCATTCATTCAACTCTCTACTTTGTGTGTAGCCGAGTGTTTCTCAACCTTGGCAACTTTAAGATGTCTGGACTTCAGCTCCTAGAATTCCCCAGCCAAGATTGAAAAATGCTGGTGTAGTCCAATGACTGAACTTCAGGGTGCTTTTAATACAGAGGAGTTAAAATTAAAGTGACATACGGTAAAAGTGGGTGAATGATAAAGCATTTAAGCCAGCAAGTGGCACAGTAAAGCTGAACAGACCTGGAACAAAATTAAAAATCCTGAAAAAATAAAAATGTTTACTTGAGGCTAAAAGGAGATCTGTTGAAAGTTGTACCCTGAGAAGGCCATTGTGTCTTTCTTGGTGAGATCACTTGAAGGTCCAAGCAGGTACGGTGCTCGGCTCAGGTATGCACCTCCCAGAAAGGCTGCACCTTTTGGCTCCGAACGAGCTCACAGGGCGCCCTCGCTTAGGGGGCCAGAAAGCGGCCGGGGGGCTGATGCATTTGCTCCCTCTCTGGGCAGTGGGTTAAGTGCATCTTGGGGAGGGGAAGAAAGGAGGGAATTCCCTTGGGCCAGCCTCCCCCCCGCCCGCCTTTCTGTGGCTTTCATTAGGTCCTTTGGCCTGTGAGGAAACCCGGCTTCCTTCTGGCTGAGGTTTGTGAAGAGCAGGGCACCCCCCAGCAGAGAGTGGGAGATACTCTCTGAATTGGGCGGGCATGGCTGGACACCTCCTGTCCTGCCAGGAAGAGGTGCCACTCCAGTCGCAGGCCTCGCGTGCAGAGAAGAGCCAGGCTGCCGGAGACTCTCGGTCGCAGATTGACACACACACAGCATTTGGGGGCTGCCAAGTGTGTTTTTAATTCTAAAATGTGTTGTGGCCAACTCAAAGTGGCGCTTGGGTGGCCGAGAAACCATATTGAACCTTAGAAAAAGCCAAGCCCCATCAAAAGCTCTGGAAGTTGACCAAGGGTCACGCCGTCCTTCGGCTTAGCATGCCGGGCACGTGCTCCTTACTGGCGCAAACAGGTTGGGGGCTCCCTTTCCACCACCCCCACCTCCCACACGTGTTTCCTGCATACGTGGAGGTGCTTCCTCGGGTCGTGCTAGTCCGGGGGTTGAGCTGGGGTGGTGCCAAACCGTTGAGGACAGTGTGGCGGCCCAGGAGGAACCGGCCTGGCTGTCTGGGGGGTGGGGGTGCAGGAGCGGAACAGCAGCCCCTCTGCGCAAATTCTGCGGAGGGCAAGTGCTGGGGCAGTGGGAGAGAACGGCGTGCTCTAGGCTTCCCCAACCAGGTGCCCGCTGGATGTCCGGGGACTGTGGCTCCCAGACTTCCCTGCCAAGAGATGGAGGGCTCTGGGCCGGGCTGGTTGCTCCGGGAAGGGCAGGTGGGGGCGCCCCGCGCAGTTTCCGGGAGTGATGCCCTCCCCTCCTGCCTCTCCAGGTGGTACCGGCTCCACTCCAAGCCTGGCAGGAAGGAGAAGGAGCGAGGCGAGATCCAGCTGACCATCGAGTTCACCCGCCATAGCCTGACCGCCAGCATGTTCGACCTCTCCGTCAAGGACAAGCCTCGCTCGCCCTTCAGGAAGCTGAAGGACAAGGTGAAGGGGAGGCAGAAGTACGACCTGGAGTCCGCCTCTGCCATTGTGTCCAGCAGCAGCGGGGCGCTCGACGAGGACTTTGACCTGGGGGGCCGGAAGGACAAGGCCAAGGGCTTCTTCTTCAAGCGCCAGCTGCGCAGGTCCTCCCTGACCCGCTCCAGCACGTCCCTGGGCTCCGAGAGCACCGTCTCCTCCGCCAGCAGCCTGGCGGGCCTTGGGAGCACTGAGACGGTGGCAGCCTCGCCTGGCCGGCACAGCAGCCTCTCCACCGACCCCGCCGGTGAGTGGAGAGCAGCCGTGGGGATGGGGCCCAGCCTCCGGGCGGGTCGGGCCTCTGTGCTTCCTCTGACCCTAGGGCTCCGTGGTGACGCCCGCAGCACCCCCAGCCCCAGGTGTTGCAGCTTCTGGCGCTTCTGAATCGAGGGATCGGGTTCCTGCTCTTGGTGCCTTCCAAGTAGGGTGGATAAATTGCCACTTGGCTGCAGCAGGAGCATCGTGCACGGTGGGCCCCTCTGCGTCTTGGCCCGGTGGAGGAGTGGGCCGCACCTCTGGGGGCTTTTGCGGAGGCTTGGGCGGAGGAGGAGCTGGGAAGTAGTCGATGGCTCCTCTGGAGCAAGTCCTCCTCAAAAGAGGCACGGAACTGGGTACGAGGCCCCCCAATACTAAGGGTCTGCCGGCGATTCTCCCCTATGCCAGGTGAGTTACTCTCTTCACTCTCCCTCCCCCCCTCCAGGGAGAGACTTTCTGCCTTCTCCAAAGCCGTCGCACAAGAGGGCCTTCAGCGATGAGGTCTCCCAGATCAGCGTGTGGCCGGAGCCCCAGTCGGTCCAGAGCCTGCAGACCCCGAAGGAGCCCAGCTCCAGGTCCTCACTCTGCATCAATGGGAGCCATATTTACTGCGAGGAGCCCTCCCACAAACCGTCCTTCGTGTCCCTGGCCCCCCTCCCTCCCTCCCAGGGCGATCCCAGCAAGCAGGACAGGGGCTCTGCGGCTGGACTGCCTGCTGCTGAGCCGGACCTGCCGCCCTGGCCTGCCGGCGGCTTCCAGAAAGGACCCCCGAAAGACCCCCCGCGGTTCATCCCCTCGCCCCCCATCTTGGCGGCGCAGGAAGAAGACAAGCTCTCCGTGAAGACCATTGCCCTGAACAAGCACCGGGTCCGAGTCAAAATGGAAGAGGGCTTGCAGGCGGAGAGCAAGCCCGTTTCGATGGCCGCGGCCCCGGTTTTCCCCTCGGAGGTCAGGAGGGTGAGGCCTCAGGAGGAGAGGGAACGAGCCGAGGCCGGCGTCTTCCATCGTGAGAACGGCAAAGGCCGTGGCCAAAGCCACGAGGCAGGGAGCCCCGAGCCCGCATCGAGCCTGGAGGCCACAGCTGCAGGAGAAGAGGGACCCGGGAGTGCTGGTGGTGGCGGTGGCCAGATCGGCCTGCGAGACTCCAGGGAGCCGGTCCGGAAGCTGAGGTGAGCCTACGTCCGCGGGGCTGAGCCGCAGGGGTTGGTGGGCGTCGGTTGGCCTAAGGGGGTGGGAGAGCTGTGGCCGTGGTGCCGGGGAGGGCCAGGTGGGCAAGGGTTGGAGACGGGGTCTCTGGGCTCCGGGGTCGCTGTGCCCGAGCCGTTCTGTCCAGCTGGCCCTGTTCCCAATGCCCTGCACGACGGGGCTGGAAGCTGGGACGCCTGGAGGTGCTGCTGTCCTGGGCGAGGGGCGCTTGGGGCTTTGGACCGGAGAGCCAGGGCAGCTGCATGAACTTGGGGTGTTGCTCCAACCTTCTGCCCTCCCGGTGCTGGGGCTGCCTTGGGAATCCCCAGCTGGCATGAATCCGGCTGCTGGACAGGATGGGGGAACGGAAGGCCCAGGTGGGTAATGGAGCCCCAGTGGGTGGTGCCTTGTGCGAGGCTGCAAGGGGCAGCGGGTACGTTGCTGTGGCTAGCTTCTTTCGAGACCCGTGCCCTATGGGGGAGCAGGGCGCTTGAGGATGACGCCTCTCTCCAGCATGAATTGGGCTGGGGAACAGCTGCACGGCCCGGGAACCGCCTGCGCTGTGGCAAGTGCCTGATTGTGATGGCAGCCGTTTCTGGGCTCTCTGTCAGAGGGGAAATTTCTCATTCTCTGGGCAGTTGCACTCCCTAACTGTGCGGCTTAACTGCACATCTGGGACACCAGACGTTCCAGGTGTAGATCACGTTTCCAGATGGCCCGGGGATTCCTGGCGCTCTGGGTCTGTGGCCACCAGCAGTCCAGAAAGTCCTGTTTTTTCAGCTCCCAGAGCGCCCCAGGACAAGACCGGTTTTCAGCTGTGCAAATCTCACGTGTGCTTCCTTGAATCAGAGCGGGGGTTGAGCCGTCGCTTCTGCTGACTTAACGCTTCTGTTTTGCCAATGAGGCACCCTGAGCGCACAGATTAACATCGGGTGTCCACGCGGCCCAAACACCCTTTTCACCCTCTGCTCTCGCAGTAGAGAAACCGGACCCCGGCTGTCTGGAGTCCAGCAAGAGAAGGCTGGCTGGCCCTGCCCGGGAGCCCCCTGAGGGCCGTGGACAGCTGAGCCCGCCGGGAGCATTCGGGCCCGTATTTTGTCGAGGAGGGGAGGGTGCTGGGGCAGCCGTGGTGGCAGGTGTGGCCTGAGCAGGCCTTGTGGGGCTTCTGGGGGACGAGCCAGGGGTCAGGTGTGCCCCGGCCTTAGCTTCTGTCGCCCACCCAGAAGACGCCTGCGAAGGAGGGAGTGGCAGGGGGGGGAGGAAGCCTGGGGGGCTGAGAAGACAGGGGCTGCAGCACGGCGCTTTGGGGCGTCGCCTGGGGGTGCTCAGAGCCATGGGTGGGTTTGCCAGGGGACCGGCCCAAGGAGATGGGGGGAGCATGGGGACCCCGCTGCTTTCTGGGGAGAGCCTTGTTTGTGCGTGATTTCAGGGGGCCGGGGTGGCCTTTCAGGGGAGCTGGGCCCCTTGAGCGCCCAGCCAGTGCGTATACGCAGGTGTGGGGGGAGGCGAGTCAGTTTTGCATAAGTTGGGCTGGCGCTGGCGCTGGCGCTGGAGGCAGGGAAGAGGCAGCTGGCAGTCCGGCGCGGAAAAGGGGAGCTGGAGAGGTCCCTGGGCTAGGGTGGGCTTGCTCTGCCCCCTGGAAACTGCCCTGCACAGCAGTCTCTAGGGAGCAAGGCCGGCGCCAGACCCACACACGCACATTCGTGAGGGCAGCCCTGGGGTCTCCTTCGAGTGCGAACAAGGGCCAGTAAGGGGGAAGAGGAGATCCGTGCTGTCTGAAAGGAAATTCCTGAGGAACGAAGGGCTGGGGGTCCTGGGATCCAGGCCTGCTGGGCCCTGGGGCAGGGGGTGAAGGCGAAGGGGGTCTCAGGAAGTGCCGGAGGTACTATTTTTGCTGCCCCAGTCAGGCTTGTGAGGAACAGAATGGGGGCCCAGTCCAGCCGGTCGCTCTGGAGTTCCCCACTGCACGGCCTTAATGGCCGGACTGCAGGAGATGCAGCAGCGGTTGTGCTGCTGGGGGGAGGGGTAGTCCTGCCCACCCCAAGGGTGGGCGCTCAACTCCTCACTCGCCTGCTGCCTGCCCTCCGTGTGCCAGCTGAGTGCCCCTCCTGGGCTGAACAGTGAATTGCATGGCAGCACCTCTCTGGAATTGGCACCCAGTAAAATGGAGGTGCGGTCATTTCTCTGGCCCTCAGGAGCCTTTGGTGTTGCTCCCGGGGCCCCTCTAAATGGGGAAACTGATTGAAATCTCGAGGAATGAGCGTGTTGCAGGCGGCGGCCTCCCTGTTTGCCTGGGCCATGTGGGTTTTGCCACGGTCTGATCCTGCACTTCCGTGGATTGGTACCTCGTGGTGGTGAAAGGGTCTGCGTGTCCCAGTGGCACCTGCAGTTACTCTGTAGGGGGGCACACCCTGGAGGGGCCGCTCAGGACAACTTTCCTGTCAGGTTGCACCGGTGAGCGGGGAGGCTGACGACAGTCCATTGGAAACGATCCCACCGTTCGACCAAGAAAACCAAGTGGACGTTTGCAGCCAGCGCAGTGTCAACCTGACGCTGGAAGATGGACACGACCCCCGGCCAGAAGGGCCCCACGAAGCTACTGGAGGAAAGCTGAGGCCAAGTGGGAGCAGCCCGCTGCTTCTGATGTGGCTGGATTAGCGCAGAAGAGACTCCAGCCGCTGACGTGCCCGAAAGGTTGATCCTGCAGCGAGATGGACATAATCGGTAGAGGGAATACAAGGACCATGACCAAAGGCAGCGGTCCGTTATGGTTCAGAGCAGCAACGGCGAGGCTGAACGCTGGACGATGTTCTGCGAATCAGCAAACTGAAACGGACTGGAATGGGTAACCTCGCATTACGGCAGAAGAGCAACAAATCATCTATTGTGGTCAAGAAAATCAGAAGAAACGGAGTAGCCATCATTAACAAAAAGATGCTAAGTCAGCGCTCCAAAGGATGCAACGTTTTCAGTTCAAATCCGAGCCAGGTCTACGCGTGGACCCCAAACGTGGAGAGAGCAGAACAGTTCGGCGGCAATTTGCAGCAGCTCTTCACCAGAAGGAGCCACCGTGCTAATCATAGGAGGCTGGAGCGCCGAGGTAAAACAACATCAGGGTTAGGGTTTGGCTTCAGGGCACAAAAGGAGGAGACGAGCTGGTTAAGAGTTTGGCCAAATTCAGGATTCAACACTGCTGGCGGACCCAGCCTGAAAGACAGCTCCGCACAAGGACGTTGCCAGTGTAGATTCTGCAAGGGGAGACGCAGGATAAGACCGCTGCTAACCCAGACTCCTCGCAACTCCAGCTGCAGAAAACAAAAGCATCAAACCAGCCAGATGTGACCTCAGCTGTGGTCCATGTCATCAGGCGATAAGGCTAAAAATAGGTGGATTAGATTTGATCAGTAACTGAAGTGATGTCATGAAGCAAAAATACTCCAGAAGGCAGTTAAGCCAAAGAAGGCGAAGAGACCGTCTGCTAATGCGTTAAAAAAACAGAAGCCGAAGGAAGCAGAAGGCAACGGAGACAGGAAAAAATGCCCAGCTAAAGTCCGTGGTGCAAAGACCGCAAGAAGAAGTGAGGAGTTGCAGCTGCTACGTGAGCAGCGCAAAGAGCAGCAGTTGAATAGGAAGGGCAAGATTTTTGTGTAAGAAAATTTCAGAAATCAAGAGCATCTTTTCTGCAAAGATGGGGATGGTAAAAGTCAAAAGAAAAAAAAAACCAAAGGAAGAGAAGCTGCAAGGAAGAGATGGGACAAATAGATTGAAGAACTGTGGGAAAAAGACCCCCAAATTGATGATGGGGGTGAAGGCTTAATCCCTGAACTAGAGCCCGACCTTCTGGAAGGTGAAGTTAAGTGGGCTTAGAGGGTATTCCTGAAAACGGTGCCGTGGCAGCGGGTGAAATATCAGCTGAGGCGCTCAACCCTTTGCAAGGCGTTGCAGTTAAAGCGCTGCTCGCGTTTCTGATCAGGCATGAATAACGCGGCAGCGGCCCCACGACCCAGAAAGACGTCCCCAAACCGGCCACGCTGAGGAATGCTCAAGCCGCCAAAGAGCTGCATTTGCCTCCGTGGTTCCTTGGAGAGAGGGCCGCCAGATGTAGGAGGCGCATCTGGAAGAGGCCGGGGGCACCCAGTTCACTTTGCTAAGATCTGTGGGATCGTGGAAAAGGCAAACGAGTTCCACAAAGGTGTCTAGTTTTGTGATTACACAAAGGCTTTTGACTGTGTAGATCACAACTTGTGGGTGGTTGTTAAAAATGGAATATACTGGGCTAGCTCATGTGCCCATTGAAGAATTGTTATAACAACCAGAAAAACCACATTTTAAATGGAATAGGGAGTGAGTAGACGGTTCAGAATTGTGGAAGGAATGTGCCAGAGATGTATGCTGTCACTTTACTTATTGAAGACATCATAAGGAATGCCAGAGTAGGAGACACAGAATTTGGAATCAGAATTACTTGGAGAAACTTCAACAGCCTCAGAAATGCTTCAATGGAAGGAAGTGAGGAGGATCAAAGGAATCTCTTGTTGAAGGCGAAGGAAGCCAGTTTGCTGCTCAGTCTTTAAAAAACTAAGATGGTGTCACCGGGCAATGCCGGTCCAATGCAGATGTCAGAGAAGAAGGTGAAGTGCTAAAGACTTGATCTTCCTAGGCTTAAACCTCCCCACCCCCCCAGCGATGATGGTGCCTGCAGCCATTAAATAGATGTCAGCTACTCAGGAGAAAGACAAAGATGGATCTAGACAAAATGATCTGGAGAATCAGCAGTGACTGAGCACGTCAAAGAAGCCAACCGTTCTGTGCTTCTCAAGTGGGGCTTTTGGGCCAAGGGATCACGATGGGCTGGTTTCAGAACATCAGCTTCCTGGAGCAGTGGCGGCAAGTGGGTTTGGGGAGAAGCTCAAGCTTACACAAGTGTGTGAGATGACACCTCCTAAGGCTGAAAGAATGGGTGATGGTCCACGATGGCACCTTTGCGGGAAAGTCCAGGCTGGTGTCAGGTTGTCTTCGTGGAGGAAAGAGAGCTGCTCCTGCTTGCCAGGACCTCAGGAATGCCCCTTTCCTGGCTCCAGGAATGAAAGAAGAGGGCCCCGGGGGCACTGCGGTTAGCCCCAAGCTCCCTCCTGTCTTGGACCACGGGGCAGCTCCTCCGAGGGCGAACGGCCGGCAGCCTATTCATGGATTCCTGTTCGAGGGAGTGGATCAAACTAGGGGGAGACTCTGCTGGTCTAGGAAAAGCTTTGGGCAATGGGTCCCCCCCCCCCGGCCTTCTGTCTGTCAACAAGGGGTCCTTTAGCAATGATGGGGAGATGGCTGGGGGGTTTCTCTGGAGGTCAGAGTTCCAAACTCCACTGAAAGGCTGTGAATGGCACAAACTCCTTTGCACCGAGCTAGCAACATCAGGGGATTTACTTCCTTCCGTAGTTGCGACACTTAGGAGCGGCTCTGGTCGCAGTGACGATCCCCCAAACCTGTAACTTGGGTTAGAAGTAGACAAGATAAATATCGGAATAAAAACTTAAAACCATAAATCACAATAAGAATTGTAGGAGGAGTTGGGAGCCTCTTTTCCGACTACTCAATTTAATTAAAAGGCAGAAGCCTTTTTGTCGGAAAAGGGGCTCCCAGACCCCTTCTGATCTTTTCGCTCCCATAGACTAACACAGCTTTCCTCCTGCAACAGAAACTCTGCAAACCAGGCATTAAGCGTTAAAAGCCAGAACCCCAGCCCCTTGTCCACCCATCTGCTGTGGTGGGCTGCAGGGCCTCCTTTAGGTTGTTGTGCATCTTCTGCATCTCCCTGGTGGGGCTTTCTGGGGCCTCATCCAGGAGCGCAGACCTCCCGCTTGGTCCCAGCCGATATGGGGTAGGACTCCAATCCCAGACGGGTTCCCTGGGATGGGGAAGGAGCAGGGGCCATGGCCCGATCCCCCATGGAGCAAAGGCTCTGCTCCTCCACTGGTGGCCCCCAGGCCCCTGGAAGCGCCTGGGAGGTCCTCTGGGAATGGCAGGGGATTGGGATCCGTGTGCAAGAGTGTGGGCGCGCTCTCGGGTCGGGGGGGCTGGAAATCGGCTCTTGGGGACGCTGGCAGAGGCCGAATGGCAGCGGGGAACGAGGGTCAGGAAGGCCGCCCTCTGCCAGGCGTCCTCGCTTTTCTCGCCGGCCGCTCTCCGTCCTGGCGTGCCACAGGCAGGACTGTCCCCCATTGGCTGCGGAAGGAGAGTCGGGTTGCTTCTCCTCGGTCAAGCGCAAACTTTTTTATTTCTTAAGAGGTACGTCCGGCTTCCCTTTAGGATCTCAAGGCAGCATATGCAGTGCTCCGTCTTTGTGGTTCTTCCACTGCGATGACCCTGCGAGGTAGTCCGGGCTGACAGAGACGGGGATGGCCCAAAGGGATCCAGTGGCTTCCATTGGGGGGGCTCAAACCTGGGTCTCCTCGGTGCCACTGCGCTCCTGCCGCACTGCACCACTCAGGGTCTCGGTCTCCTCTCTTGATCCCTCACGCCCCCAGGCTCTAATTAGCAGCAGGGCCCCCTAGCTCCGCCAGCCATGCCAGGCTGGTAAATTCCAGAGCCAGACCGTTCCCCCAGCTGGCTGGGCGTCTGGATGGTGGCCATTTTGAAAGAGAAGAATGGAGGGGGAGCAGATCTCTGCCTCTAGGGGAAACGGAGGGGAGGGGCTTAGGGCAGGGGCCCTGCCGACCTGGGCTCCTTGCAGTGGGCATCCATGGAGATGCGCCATCGCCCCCTGGAGCCCTCGCCTCTGGCTGGGCCGTGCCTGTCAACGGGGTGCGGATCCAGAGCCCGTCTGAGGCAGCAGCAGGTGAGGGGGAGCTGGGGGAGCAGGGTGCAGGCGCTGCTTCCCTGGCACTTGGGGGTGGGGGGCTTGTCATCCGCTGACCGCCGAGCACCCATGCACAAGACGTCTCCCAAACTGGCTGCAGCTTGCTAATGCCGGGGGGGGGGTTGCTGTAAGTAAAGTAAGGGGGCACGTGGAAACTAGTAAATCAGGAAATCCAGTCGCGGGTTAAGATTGCCTGCACGTGTCCCCCCCCAATAAAGAATGCATTGTTATTTTTGAGATAGGAAAGAATGACTGTCAGGAGGGGGCGAGGGAACGAAGGCTAGCCCCCCCCAAGGAATTGAAAGCCAGCCTGGGTGGGGGGAACCCATGGCTTGGCTCTCCCTCCTTTGGGGAGGGGCCCAAGATCCAAGGGGGTTGAGGGTGGCAGAGCCC